AATCAACGAATGGCATGGGTTAAAATTTTGTGTTCCCTCCTGTTAATTTTTGTGTTCCCAGAACGGTCCCACCTGTTATCGATGGATAATTTCTTTATTATTATTTTAAATTATAATACTAGTTTCAGATTTTTTAAAATATTATTCTGAAATTCGATATATTTTTTTTTAGCTCAAAAATTATGCTGCTTTTTATGGTAAACAATGTATTATTAAAGTTAATGGATTAACACAAGATCACTACAAAAAAATATATTTTTGTAATGGTTTTATTATTATTATTTTAAAAAAGTAAATAATATGCTTCTACAAGATTAAAATTATTTTCTGCTTTTTATAACTTAGTTTTACTACCAAAATGTTTCGACAATAGTGGAATATTGAATTAAATCTTTCTGTTTCTTCATCAGTTTGAATTTGAAGTTGACATTTCTATGAATGCGATTAAAACAGTACTCAGTTGGCAAATTATTCCCTTTTGAATTGCTAAATCCTCTAATGGGAAGATAACCCGTTTTCATACAAGTTTTTACTGCTTTATGCACTGTAAAATCATGAAATGTACAGTGTGTAATGAAAAAAATTGACCTCACAAGAATTAAACTACCCAAGAAATACATGAGATAGTTAAACAAAATTAGATTCATTTAAAAGTCAATCAATTACTTTATTAAATAAAAAAAACTCGATATAAAATACTATTGCCAATTTTTTGTAAGGTCAAATCATGTCTCTTTTTTTTAAATTTTTTTAAATTTTTGTCTCCAAAATTTTAACATGAAACTTTTTAACAATTGCTTTAACACAAAAACACACATAATAATCATATAAAAAATATATATCAATTTGTAGCTTAAGTTCTGAAGATCATTTATATAAAACTATATGTTCTAGAAATTTGTCAATTAAAAATAAAAGAAATTCAACTAGAAAAATTTCAATGCAAAGTTTTTTAATCATTGCTCTAAAGCCTACATAATAATATGCTTCAAAATTTTTAATGTAATAATTTATGATCTTTTAATTCTTTGACATAATTTTTATTATGCGGCTTTGGATTTTGGTTACTTTCTTAGAAAACAAATTTAGAGGTCAATTTTTTTTGTTACACACTGTATTCTGACTGGATGTTTAATATTCTCAAGGGTAAAATTAGGCCTAAACCAAAATTGCCTAAATGCCTAAACTATGGATTAGTTTCGGCCACCATCATTATGACTAGGTAAGACAGGAGAAACGGTTAAGAAGGCACCCACCTAGAAAGCATTCAGGATTATATACATATCTTTGGAATTTGGTCTAGGGGAACGGCTGGCAGGCACCTAGAGTATTTGTGTTGTATTTGTTTAGGAAATCCCGTGAAGTTTTAATTTAGTTTTAGTTTAGTATTGAAAATACATAAGTCGGTTGGGTCTGCTGTATTGAAAATACATTATTGGAATATTAGATTATCTATCTATATATTTTATTGGACACATCGTGAGTTTGTGTAGCTGGAATTTACATGCTCACAATATCAATTATTTTTATATGGGAGGGGGGTTAGTTCTATATATCACTTAATATTAAGATAACAAAATGGGATATTATAAAACTTTTAATTATAATCACATTACAAATGACTGAATTTTGATCCCTGAAATTGTTAGTAATACAAATGTTCACTTTGTCTGGTTTTGTTGCAGTATGCCCCATTTTAAAAAGATTCATTCAATCTCCGGATGATCATTTTGGTGAATAATTATTATAATGTTTCAGGTATTCCTTTGATCATTAATCATTCATTGATTATTCAGTGAATACATTGTTAACAATTATCTATTGGTCATTTTGCATTCTATCAAACCTATCAATACTTTTTCAAAAAAACAATCTTTTCAAACAAAAGCGGTATTCTTTTTGAGGTCATTGTATTTCCGATAAGTGTATAATATAGTTTAGATCTAGATTCACCATCAAAAGCTTCGGATACGTTAACTCGACAAATAGCTAGGTTTTCTCATCATCTTTTACAATTACAGTTTCCTCCGTCAAGTTCCATATCCAACTTGACTTCTTAGAACCATAACGGAAGGTTCTTCTTCCATTTTAAATGAAATAATTAATTTAATTAATTAGAAATGAACAAAATAAATGAATTTATTTGGATGCGAGCAAATTTCATTTTCGATTCAGCTATACAAGATAGTGATTATCAGTTATTCACGAAAAAAATCTGATTTTCTTTTTAAAAGTGTATAATTACCCGATTTGAATTTTCTAAATAACCATCAGAAAAGTGATGAATAATAATAATTATAACAACAATAATAGTAAATTTATATATATATTTCAAATCGGGATAATAAATCACCAACACCAAATCAGCATAGTTAAAAATCCTTTTATGGATAGATCGTCGTTACACACATTTAATATATAGACATTTCAAAAAAAAAGATCAGCAATTTATATGTAAAATCGAAAAAGTATATACCACTTGGAAAAGTGGCGCTGCACAGACTATATAACTCCACCTCAAAATTTGCACAAATGTTCTGCTATTCCTGTTCTTTCCTGAGCGGAATTGGATTTTTATTTTTATTAATAAAAAGTTGCTCCAAATTTGTCATAACATCCAAATTTGTGATGATCTACATTTTAACTTAACGCGTAACATAAAAAATAAAACTAATAGATAATTCAGGCATAATAAATAAATAAATAACATTTCTAACTATCATTTATCATTAACAAAATGAATAAAGGTGTAAGCCGAAAAATTTTGGTCCTTGTATAGTATGTGATAATCAAGATATATATTATATAAACTCTATATTATATGGGGCATGCTGCAACAAAACCAGACAAAGTAAACATTGGTATTACCAATGTTTTCAGGGATCAATATGTTTGTCTAACATCACAACTGTATTACCAATATAATGTGATTATGATATTTGTCTAGACAAATGTTATTTTTTATTATTTATTTAAATATATTTTTATCAAACATTAAAGTGTACTAACACTTAATTATATTAATTTAAAATATCAATTTAAAAATAATTACTTTGATTCTTTTCTCTTTTTGTTTGTTTTATCAATTTCACTACGTAAAGATATAGGCAATGTTTTCATTTTGATGGACCATCTCACTTGTTGTGTGGGTGTAACAGGTTCATTATTATTAAGTATATTTATATATCTAAAGTAATTCTGATCCACAATACGCTGTATAGGAGTTTTTGAAATTATTAAAATTTTTTCTTGATAATAAAAGAGTTAAACAGAATAAAAAGTTAAACAAACTCACTCGAAACTTAATTAAGAAACTCAATGCCCGAGAGATTTCAGGAAAATCAAACACATTTGTTGGGAGGCTGAATTCAAATATCTTATTAAACACATACAGCTCAGGAGCAGGCATCTGCATTGAATATATTTCAATGTCTAGCTCTAAAATGTATTCAATAAGTTTATTAGATTAATATAATAAAATATTTATGGATCTACCATTATTATAATATTTACTTGATGTTATTACACCAAACACATTTATATTTTTGATATGATCTGATAGCTCTCTACTATCCAAGTCTTTTGAAATTTTTGTCAGCAGATCATGCATCATTATAGTAATCTTTGTAGTATCTTTTTTGTTTTTCTTTAATCCATCTAAAATAATTTGTTTCTGGTGTTCTATTACAATGATTTCCATATTTCCTCTTAAATAAGTCAATTTGATGTCAGGCACCAATGCCAATCTAACTCTCTCCTCATTTCCAAGATTTCTTCGTTCCTTGTTAGCCAAAAGTTGACTACCAAATAAAAAGGGTTCATATAAATAAAAGTACAGATTCTTAAAAGATCTAAAATATAAAATGGTAATTACTCATTGAGCCTTATTGAATAACACTCTTGACGAAATAAGTTATTGAAAAGTGGAGCATATATTACTGCTCCTATATGATTTTCTGAATATTGATCTTTGAAATAATTATTGTCCAAAATAAAAAACCCAGAACTAAATAGAAGAAAATATTATATTTTTAATATTATATTATATCATATAATACTGAATCTCATCCTATTCATTAATTAGATTAGACTTACAAAATGTTCACTACTGAAAAAATAAAATTATCTATTATTGATTCAGCATCCAATTTTATATTTATAAGTACTTTGTACTTATCTATGAATTCATTAGCTTTATCAATGTTGGTTATCTGGAGTATTTCTTTTAGGATATTTTTGATTCTTTGGTTTTCAATTATATCATCTGTATATTTATTAAAATTTCATTTATATAACTCTGAAATTGTGATATATCCACTAGATTTGTTTTTCCTTTCATCATCCAAGTTTATCACGCCCATTTTTATAACATCACTGTATAATAATTATAAAATTAAAATCTAATCTTTTGCATTTTAACATTAATAATTATATACACATCTGGTTATAAAAATTACCAAGAATTTGCATTCCTATAAATTTCTATTAAATCTACATAAATATTTTTCAATATTAAAAAAAAAATTAATAAAATTTCTTCATTTTTTAATAATTAATTAAAATACATACATGATTAAAATGCGATCCAAATTTTGGTTCATCGTCTAAAATACCTTCAAAATCTATAATGTATTCATGATCGTTTGCTGATGGTGATGACGTTAATTCATTTTGACTAAAAAACAAAATGTCTATTTTAATTCTGTGAACTAGAGTGACGACGAGTGGCGGGCGATAACCACCACCACCATCCTTCTCAAAACACTTACCAAACTAATGCATCCCCAGCTCGTTCAGTTTCTTTGTTTTTTTCTTGTTTGCTACTACAGACATTTTTAAGAAGTTTGTTTAATTAATTGATTGATGCGTATACGCCAATCATTTATGTATGTTTTTTTTTTGTTGACGTGATTTTTTTTTGGGAGGGGGACAGACGCGAATTGATTTTTTTTTTTGGAAAAACAATTTATTTTTTGACAGAGTCCAAGGTGACAAAATGTGAGTGTTGTTGTTTGGGTCTCCTAAAGAAGAAGTGTTAATAACTAACCAGAGGTACTATTTTTTATTTGTATTGTCTTTTTTAGTTTATAAATATTTTAATTGGAATCAAAACGTGGAACAGATCTTGCTGGGTGATTACAAGATTTTCATTGATAATATTTTGCTTTTCGTAATCGTTAATATTAATAATATTATTATTACATTATTATAATTACAAGATGTCAAGGCAGCACATTGTTGAATATGAAACATTTTGATATGCAATGCTTGATTATTGGAAATTTGACAAGTGTTGAAGCACGCACGCACGCTACCTTGAACACTTTACAGTCATTCACACATCTTCCTCGTGTACACAAGGCTAATCTGACCTGCTACACTAGATGATATGATATGCAACAGAACTCCAGGGGGGGGACGCGTGGCCCTGGAGTTTACCGAGACTGCATCAATCGTCAATGACATTTTCACTAATCTTCACAGCACTCAGACCAGAGAAAGCTGCTGGAATGCTGGATGAAAAGTTGCCTGCAACGATCCCACCTCTAGGGCAAGGATGGCTCTGTGACCAAGTCGCAACTCGGAGGGATATTAAGAGAATCTGCAACTTGTTTCAAGCACAGGAGGTCATGATTCGGGGTGGGGTTGGTGGCCTGAAATTGCATTTGGGCTCTGATGTTAAGAGGAAAGTTGTAAAATAGTGTTTGTTTTGTATAATCATTTTCATAAATCTCTGTTTCTGATACTAACCAATTTATAATTTTGGGTAAGAGACTGGATGGGGTTTTTGCTCGATCAATCCCCTGTCCTGTAGGTTAAAATTATCACATGATCATATACATCTTTGTCAGCAATATGGCCAACAAGAAAAAAATTATAAAATGGTTTGGATTTTGTTTGGTATGTATGTACAAATTAATCATTTTCTCAAATTTTCTGCTTTTTGGTATTTTTTGTTTGACCAAGCGAATTTGTTTTTTAAATGGGGTAGGGTTGTTGGTGAGTAGGCATGCCACCAACAAGACAGCAACCCAGGACTCAAAACTCTGAATTCAGGGAAAAACCAAAACAATGATCCAGGTTGCAACCTCCCGAGTTGCAGAGTTGCAGACACCAACTTTATTCTAGAGGGGTATAACACAAAGCAAGCATCATAAATGCTAACTCTCATCAGCAATCAATGCCCAAATAGTAACAATCAAGCCTGATATGAGAAGATAAGAGAAGTTTTGTCCAAAGCCTTCCAACATGTAGGGGATCCCTCACCTATGGAAAAAAATCCACAGTCATGAGGAGTGTGAAAGCACCTAACCACATGTTGTCATAGGAAATTTTAATTAAATCTGACACCTGCAATCAACATCAGATTTATTATTCATTCTTGTGAATCTCAGAGATCTGGGTAGACATGCATTATTAAAAGTTTCATTTTTGCATGGCCTTGGTATTGTTACTACCCGGGTGATGCAATTGTTTGTTATGTCAATGATGATATCAAATGTATTGCATAATAATCATGACCATCATGAATATTTGATGGATGGAGGCATTCACATACAAGTATACATGCAGCCCAAAGTATTTTGACACTGTCATAAAGGGGGTTACACATGTAATAAAGGGGTGTTACACTTATGTTTTTAATAGTGAATGCTGTAATTAATTTCTACTTTCTATCATCAAAATTGGAATAATTTTGACCATCAAAATCACCAAATCAATTTGGGCTGCATGTATACATACATGGAAATGATTAAATAGCTAAGTCACGTTTTGTTTTATTAAAGATATATAATTAATTATATTTAAAATTAGTGTTCCATGTCGCAATCCAAAAAAGGAAACCAAAGTGGTCACAAAGTGGTTGCAACCAGGTGTCGCAAACCATTTTTATATGTCGCAAATATGGTTGCAACCATCACCAAGAATTGCGACCA